AGACTTCCCCGGCTTAAGGACACATGTTTAAACGAAAAACCATGCGTGTCCTTCGCCGAGGGACGACTGTTGTTGTTGTCTTCACATCAAAAATGTACCTCCAGGCGAAGCTGCCGCTACGGGTACCGACTGTTGACGAAAAGGGTATGTTGGGGAGATCGAGGATTAGGGTTGTGGGGGAGGGAGCGCTGGTGATGCTGGTGGAATGTGCTATACTATTACAGCCGCTGCGTCGTGGTCAGAAAATATATTCCCACTTGTTCATCATAGCTTCTGAACGTTAACGTTCAAACCAGCCACAACCAACACAGCCACAACGACAAACCACGGAGACAAGAAAGGGGGGACGAAAACAAATGCCACGCCAAATACTATGAAATACTTCATTGTTAGTATGTCCTGGACTCTCTTTTCAGTGCATGGACATGAATACACTTTGCAAAGGAAAAAAAAAATCACCTCCGGGATAACTCTCATGAACATCGTGTCCTGTCCCATCGCGCTAAGGTCCGAGCAAGCGGCCTTGAGCCGCAGCAGCTTCTTGGGCGAAACCACGATCAGGGGCTTGCGGAACTCACGGTGCACCTGATTTTCAGTGCGTCGAATCGAAGGCATACGGAATGAACGCGGGACAGATACCGTCAAAACACGAGCAAGGTGGAGATAGATGTTGTGTGAATGACAGCTTCAATGTTAGAAAAACATGTGACGTGTCGATGCTGCTTGTAGTAGGACTTGCCTGAGTTCCACGGTGCTAGCGGTACGATACTACTGAGCTTGCGGTGGAACCCAGCATCCCGTCCCGTTCCAATCCCAAGGAAACTAGACGGCACCATTGGGTTCATGCCAAAAGGCTTCAACCACCCCGAACCCAATGCTTCCCGCCTGCTTCCCTACTACCATCCACAACCACCAACCGCCCCACACAACGCCAAGCAGCGTCGACATGACCAACAATAAAGAGTACAGAATCTTGCGGAGAACTTTTTAACAAAAACAAGCAACACATGTTCGAATAAATAACGAAACAAGCCTGAACGTCTCGAGAGTGAACTATCAGCCTGTATGTACAACACGCACCTGTCGGCGTAGCGCATGGTAGTAGTTGGCCGCCGTGGTGCAGTTAAGGACCTGCCAGTTGCACTGCTGGATCTGCATCCTGGTCTCGTGCTTCATCCCGGGGACGTGCTCGGGGTCGCAGTCGCTCATCTGATTGGTCAAACACAAAACAATAAATAATGCACACACACGAAGGACAGAAAAAAACGGGGAAAAAACTCAATGTTGCAAAACACACAACAAAGGCACAACGGGAAAAGAAACTATGTTGCATACACAACAAAGGTAGAAAAACAAAAAAACAAAGTACAACTAGACAGAAAATGTGGATAAAAAAGAACAATTACACACACAAGGCAGAAAAAAAAACGGGGACGCAAAAAACACCACAAAGAAGACTCGAGAGTGAACAAAACATTGACACTGGCACACTTCGACACCATGGCTGGAAGGCCCAACAACGTTACTGTGCAAAATTCGATACATGCCGAGAGAGGACCAGTGCGACCTTTTCAGCATCCGAAACCAAACCATAAGACTCGTGAGCGACGGCAACCCAAAATAATGGATTGGTGTCGGCCGTTACAAGAATGGTCCAGAGCTTGGCCCTTGATGATTCAGCACACCTGGAGGAACCTCTCCATCCTGCAGCTGGAGTGCTCCGCCCCCTGGCCGTCGTACCCGTGGGGGAGCAGTACCGTCAGGCCGCTCTGCCGCAGCCACTTGTCCTCGCCCGACGAGATGAACTGGTCGAACATCACCTGCCGTCACAAACAAAAACAAAAAGCAGCAGCAGCAGCAGCAGCAGCAGAAGCAACAGCAACAAACAACAACAGAGGCAATTAGACAATAACTTCAAACACGCGTCAACACAAAGCATAAAGCACCCCAGGCACGTACGACGACTACCCATACGTTAAAGAATTATGCCTTGATTGTCCCGAGAACGCCAAGCACTGTAGCCGCAGCTGCTGCGAGAGCTACAGGAAAATAAAGCTAGAAAATAAAAAACAACCAGCAGGCGCAGCCCCCCCCCTCCTCCGCACTCGCGCGCCGTGTAGAACGCGCTCTTAGATCATGGTCCCGCAACAAACGGACGCTATTTTTATGTTTTTATTGGCTAGCCGGCTAAATAGCGTGGTCCATACCAATAAAAAAGGAACACACGCACAGACCGTGGCCTTCAGAAGCATTTTTTGTGTCTTCAATCACGCTGAGACTGACGCTTTTTCATTGGTCAGCCGGTCAGCGCGGTCGATGCTGACAACACAACGCTTCCAAGCGTAATTTAGGCATGCAAGGGTACCGACCTGTGCGCCGTTCGCGAAGTCCCCGAACTGAGCCTCCCAGAGGCAGAGGGCGTTAGGGTTCTCCAGAGAGTAGCCCATCTCGAAGCCTAGCACGCCGAACTCGGACAAGATAGAGTTCCGAACCGTAAACTTCGCCTGGGGCGGAAGTATATATTCCCATTTCCGTTCGGTGGAGAAAAAAAAAAAAACGTCGACGCGACGGGAATCCGAGCAAAAGTCAATCGTCGGGGGCAAGGGGGGAGGCTCCTTGGTAGTGTGGGGGGTGCGTCACGTGGATTATATCCAGTTGCCCCTGATTCAAGCTATCACTAGTTAGCTTTGTGCGGGGAAGAGAGGAACCATCAACTCCCTACCTACACCAGTTGCCCCTGATTCAAGAAATCACTAGTTAGCTTTGTGCGCGTAGAGAGGGCCCATGCACCTCCTGGCAATGCCTACCTAGCCATTGGTTTTCTCTTGTGTGTGGCCGCCGCGGCAGAAACGAGCTGTCTCGCTTGTACAGGAGGTACGGGGATGTCGGCCTACTGCCGTGAATGCGTCGATTCTCATTTCTTTCCCCACATTGCAAGTTGTGACAAGCACTAAAGATTGCATGCCCAGCCATCATGCTGTACACACAACCCACGTGTACAAGCAGATTGCCTAGTCCCAGCGCGGCGGAGAGCGGCACACGAATATGGTCATCTTTTCTAATAGCGGTTTGAGTTGGACAACATGTTACAGAACACCAGCGATGGATGCAGAAGAGGTAGGGCGACCTGCGAAGAAAGGAGAAACCGGAGGCAACAACACCCTTGGCAAGAACACCGGGGGGGTGCACGTCGGGGCCCCGGCTGCGCAGTGACCGCGGGGAGGTGGGATGATACCAGTCGGCTCCGTGAATTCATATCGCCCAACACTACCTCCGTTCATCTAATAAACCTTCAATGATGACCACAATATGTGTCTAACCTGCGCGTCTGGCGCCGTGCTGATGACCGATATGGGGAGGGAGGGGATGCAGCTCTTCGCCAGGTGGTTGAGCGGCGTGTGCGTCTCGTTGGTCGCCTGGAAGAAAAAAAAACGTCAAGCGAAAGCAAGCAAGCAAGCAAGCACGCAGGAGGGGCAGAAAAAAAACAAAAATGTGAACCAAAGCTTTGCGAAACAGCCACACGAAAATTGACAGCATGTAAAGTCACGAAACTTGCGCTGAAAAAAGAAAAACGAAATGCAGCAAACGATCAAAGCAAAGCATGAAAAGGGGGCGGCCGGGATCAAAGCAGAGAAAAAAAAAAAAAAAACAGGTGCGGAGGGTTTGGGGCATTCGGCTTGACAGACATGTGCGCCCGCCGTTGTTCATTCCCCGTCTTCAAGCCACCGTGCCTATCTCTCTCCCTCCCTGCCTGCTCTCGTTAGGATTAGTGCCGGTCGTCGCGCGTACTCAGCTCCCTCCCTTGATGAACCCCGATTGAGTGGACGGCACCCAAGTTTCCACATTCTGATCGACAACAAAGGTGTCAAGAGCCCATGCACCACAAAACGCGCCCGCGGCGTCGGAATCCAACAACACCACCGTCACATCGACAACCACAACGCTCCGGCCACAAACACCACCGGCGATGACGACGACAAGGGCACACACACAGCAAAGCCCACGATAAAACGAAGACGACACAAGAACGACCGACCAAACACCCGACCTCTTGGGAGAGGTCTTGCGGGAGACCCAAAAACACGCAACGTCAACCCAAATACACACACATACACACACACGAATGATGCCCTAGATCATGGCCATTAGAAGCGTACGAAAATTAGCTGTAGTGCTGAGGTTGACGTCTTTTCATTGGTCAGCCGGTCAGTGCGGTCGATGCCAATAAATAAAACACACACGCCTATACACACACCCCTTTTCACGGGGTCCCATGTCATCCTTTAAGTATTTTCCTTGGTCAGCCGCTTAGTGCGGTCGATGCCAATAAATAAAACACACACGCCTATACACACACCCCTTTTCACGGGGTCCCATGTCATCCTTTAAGTATTTTCATTGGTCAGCCGCTTAGTGCGGTCGATGCCAATAAATAAAACACACACGCCTATACACACACCCCTTTTCACGGGGTCCCATGTCATCCTTTAAGTATTTTCCTTGGTCAGCCGCTTAGTGCGGTCGATGCCAACAAATAAAACACACACGCCTATACACACACCCCTTTTCACGGGGCCCCATGTCATCCTTTTAAGTATTTTCCTTGGTCAGCCGCTTAGTGCGGTCGATGCCAACAAATAAAACACACACGCCTATACACACACCCCTTTTCACGGGGTCCCACGTCATCCTTCAAGTATTTTCATTGGTCAGCCGGTTAGCGTAGTAGTCGACTGCTAACAAAGAAAACACACACAAACATGGCCGTACCTGATCGTGGAGCACAGCGTGGCGGTGGCTAAAGGTGCCTCGCTCCACGTCTTGCCCCGTGAGCCTTACGTGGTTGCCTTCGAGCAGCAAAGTTCCGAACGCAAGCGCCTCCGCCGTTCCCCAGTCGACACCCTCGCCGTCCACGATAGACTGTTTCATTAAACAACACATCACAAAGGAAGGCATTTTGTTGCCTCGGCTAGAAACCAGCTGGATAAATGAACAGTCAGAGTGCGGTGGTTGGCTTGCTGGCTAATTTTCCGTGAAAAACAAATTACCGGTTTTCCGTGAAAAAAAAAACTGTCCCGTCCCATGCATCTACTCTTCCGGGTGGTGGCCGCACCCAAGTTGTCCCACCCCGACACAGCAGCGACGGCAGCAAAGACAGCATGAAAAAAAAAAAAAAAACGTCCACACGCAGCACCACAAGCAAAAGACCAAACAGTTCACAAACAATCACGCCGCGCCTGCGCCCACACGCACCCGCGCCTTACCACTTGTCACAGCCGGGTACGGTAGCGCGGTCGATGCCGATACCGCACAAGCAAGCCCGGCAATGCACACCCTTCTTCCAAACACTTGCAACAACAAGTCCCGTCAACTTCAGAAAGTCTCGTCAACTTCAGACCTTGTGGCGAGCCTTGTAAATCTTGTCCAGCATCGGGTGGAGGGCGAAGCCCGAGGGGGGAGTCGTCATCTTCGACCCTGACACGCGCCAAGCACCGGGGAGGAGTTCCATCAGGGGAAAAAAGGGGTGTAGCGTGTCGTGCGTGAAACGGATCATTTCTAGCGGGGGAGGGGGGGGGGGGGGGGG